GGCTTCGCCACATTATTATTATTATTATTATTATTATTATTATTATTATTATTATTATTATTATTATTATTATTATTAGGAATGTAGGGAAATTTACTACTGATATCAAGAGCAGTGCTATGCACGTCACTTGCAGCATCAGCACAACTTCAAGCGGGAATTACTCCTTGCAGAGGCCGACCCCTCTGCCTCTTGAGAAACAGATTACCTCGCTCTCTATACTCCTTGAATTACAAGAGCTTGCAGAGTCCACTGTTCTACTTTCACGATATGTTGGTGGTGCGCGGCAGTGTTCAGCTTGGGGTTGCAGTTTGAACATTTTGGGTAAAATAATTTTAGTATGTTATAAATACGCTGTGTGTCGACGCATGCGAGTGCTGCTGTTGCCATATAGTTGCCGCACTTGCAGTAAAAAACATCTAGGCAGAAAAGTAATGCATGCCGGTAGAGAGAGAAACAGTTAAAGGGGATCATGAAACGGTTTTGGCGATATTCCACAAACATATTAGGCTAATAGCGCAAGTTCAAAGGGTTATTTAAAGACTGATTTGTTCTTTCTGCGTTAACTGTGCAATTACAACGCTTTCAAGCTGCAAGTCGCTTCAGATAATAGCAATCAAACCAAACGCGCTTTCAACCGTTCATTCAAAGTACGGCATCCTCCCGTACCACGACGTCACCTAGGCGGCGGATTCGATTGGCTGTGAAATGTGTGGAAAATCGGCTGGTAGGGTGGCGGCACCTCTCGAAGCAAATATCAACCACTCTGAGATCCTTTCTTTTTTCTTTTGTTGCCAGACGGCATGCGTGCTGTAGGCCGCACTGGGGTGATGGCCTCCGAAATTGCGTGTGACCTGTCGGTCTGAAATCTCGGAGGTTTAAACTGGGTGAAGCTCGAATTGTCGAGTTCGCTCATGAGAGCTCTGCGATCGCCAGCGATGTCAGCCTGTTCCATGAGTTGAGGAGGCGCGGCAGGGGTGAGAAGGAGGGTATTTGATTGTCCCTAGTGGCCCTGGTACATGGCGTGTCGCCAAGTTTGTGGTACGAATGGTTTGATGGTGCTGTAGCCTAAACGATGAAAAAAGTTTCAAAGAAAGTTTTTTGGCCCCCAAATGAAAAGTTGGAGATGTTAGCCTGACTGTTGATTGATTGATTGATTTGTGGGGTTTAACGTCCCAAAACCACCATTTGATTATGAGAGACGTCGTAGTGGAGGGCTCCGGAAATTTTGACCACCTGGGGTTCTTTAACATGCACCCAAATCTGAGTACACGGGCCTACAACATTTCCGCCTCCATCGGAAATGCAGCCGCCGCAGCCGGGAATCGAACCCGCGACCTGCGTGTCAGCAGCCGAGTACCTCAGCCACTAGACCACCGCGGCGGGGCTAGCCTGACTGTTCGTCTAACAAGATACTCAATTGATTGATTTGTGGGGTTTAACGTCCCAAAACCACCATTTGAGTAAGAGAGACGCCGTAGTAGAGGGCTCCGGAAATTTTGACCACCTAGGGTTCTTTAACGTGCACCCAAATCTGAGTACATGGGCCTACAACATTTCCGCCTTCATCGGAAATGCAGCCGCCGCAGCCGGGAAACCTGATACTCAAGGGGCTGGGTATTTATTGAGATGACACGCACGCAGACAAGCACGTATGCACACACACACACACTCACTCTTTCTCTCTCATTCTCTCATCGCTACACGGCACTTTACTGTTTACAAAGTTTCGCACAGGCTTGTGACCCGCAAAAAAGTCAACAGCGCTTTAGTGGTGCGTCACACGCAGGTGCTGCTCTGCCGTGCGCCTAGAATATTTTGTAGTTTTAAGTACCTCTTTTCTCCCCTTTATCCCTTCCCCAGTGCAGGGTAGCAAACCGGATGTGCGTCTGGTTAACCTCCCTGCCTTTCCTTGTATCTTTATCTCTCTCTCTCCTAAGTAGCAACTTTGTTGAATGTATATAGGGCCACCTTCAGAGACTGTCTCTCTGATGCGTATCGCCTGCATACACAGTACGTCTCAGGTCTTCTGGAACGTTACAATGAGGACACAATGGGGAGTCTAACAGTTTAAACATACTCCCAAAATTTTTGCATAGGTGACGTTTAATTGGATGTGGTGCGGGCATGTTTCCTCTTGGCTGTTAGGCTCTTGCTGCACATGTAAATACCACGATGGATGAGTCTTGAAAAGAGGCACATACTGGTGACTAGCATCTGTCCAGAGCGATCGCTGGAAGCTCCAAGCGTATGCTGTACAAGCACTTGCGGCGTAAGTGGCACTGGCCGAGCTTGAGCAGTTTCGCGTGGCTTATCGAGAGCCCTACCGCGCACCCCCGAGCAGCAGTGACATCACGTGGCGTACAGCTGAGGCTGGATATGGCCTGGTGCTTTTTTTTTGGAACGTAATGTACAGAGTATGCCCTCATACTCAATCAGTTATAAATTTGTACAACACACAAGAAAGTACCATAAAAAAGTAACACCCCAGTAACTATCGCAATCAAGGCACTGCAATGTTTTTCATCAAATGGAACTATCGCAATCAAGGCACTGCAATGTTTTTCATCAAATACTTTATTAAATATGAATACAGTATCTGCTGAATCGTGTAGAAATAATCATTTAAGATGGAAAATCACCCGATGAGCTTGGTAGCAACGAGAGGTGCATCGAAAAACACCCTGTCAAGACTTAGCACCTTTAATTTTGTGAACATTCACTTTCAATATGAACAGTTTCACACGTACGCCACTGGTTCCTACACGTCACAAGTCGTGCCGATTTCGCAACGGCTACTATATACATACCCACACACGTATGGTGCAAGAATAATTTAGGTGTGTGAACGCCGCGAAGCGAGCGCTTGGCGGGGAGGGACAGACTATGTTCACATACACAGCATGCCGATAGATGGCTCGCAGGACTGAGTGCCATTAGAGTGCCTCCATGCGCGCGCCCCCGCTCGGTTGCGGCACGGTGCTCGGTTGCTGACGCGAGGCTCACGCTTTCGATCTAGGCCGCGGCGGTCTCATTTTGAATAACGTAAAACACCAGAGGACACCGATGTACTGTGTCAGTGCAGGCAAAAAAAAACTGATTGTCAAAATTGCTGCAGTCCTGCAATCAGGCGTCATTTTAGAACGTAAAAGTCTCAGATAATAATTAACACTAACAAAGAAAGCATATAAACGACACCACCGATATAGATTTAGAATCGCCTCTGTGGTAACCGGCGTAGGAATTTGTTTTCAACATAAAGAGTCAGCGTCTGCCTCTAGCGCATAAATCCTGCGCAAGCCGTCAGCTTACATGAAATATGCGCTCCCTGCATGCATTCAGGCAAAATTAACTCTAAAAGATGTGCAAGCTTCAATAAGAAGAAAAGCTCGCTAGCTTGCACATGTTTCCGGGCGTATCAGGGCACCACACGAGCGTTGTGTAGCGGGCTTTGCATACGGTCGAGTTGTGGTGGGGAGGCGCAATGGCGGCGGTCGTAGCAGACGACGCGGCGGTCCTCACTCTCAGCGGAGCGCGCGGGCATCAAGGCACCCTAAGTCCCAGGGCGAGCTGCTGGCGAATTCCGCAAAGCACATGAGGCACGTGGACGACGGTTTCCAAATATGAGAAAACCGGGTTATCGCGCGATAACAACCACGCGACACCCATAAAGTGACACCGCAAAAGAGCGGGTGATAAGGGAGGAGGTTGACAGTGCGGCGAGGGTGTTGTGGCGATTATAAATGAGCGCCGCTACTTTTCTACGTACGGGGCTCTCCTAAACCGAGAGGAAGAATGGGAGCCCGGGTAAAGATGGTAGCGCCATCTCTCGGGCTCCTTGCGAAGCAGAACGCTATCGGGCACCGGATAGTCCCGGCGTTCGCTCACCTGAAGTATTGTTGCACCGTGTACGCACGTGTCGTCTTGATTGATTGATTGATTTGTGGGGTTTAACGTCCCAAAACCACCATATGATTATGAGAGACGCCGTAGTGGAGGGCTCCGGAAATTTCGACCACCTGGGGTTCTTTAACGTGCGCCCAAATCTGAGCACACGGGCCTACAACATTTCCGCCTCCACCGGAAATGCAGCCGCCGCAGCCGGGAATCGAACCCGCGACCTGCGGGTCAGCAGCCGAGTACCTTAGCCACTAGACCACCGCGGCGGGGCCACGTGTCGTCTTGTTGGAAGCAGAAGTTAATGTGGCAGAAGAAATTTTAAAAAGAAAAAAAAAGAGACAGATAACGAAGAACGTTCGGATAGAGCAATGACATCATCGGGTCATGTGATCATGCTTGACTTCACCTATGAGCATTCGACTGCAGCTGCCTGCTGTCTCGCAGATGAAGCGGGAAAGGGGGAAGAGCGGCGCCGAGGCGCAGGGGACAAGCTCGTATGCTTTTTGTCGTGCGTTTCTGTGACGAGACCGTGAAGTGTGGTCACAGTGAGCGTTTACCTTGTGTTCCAATTGTGCCAGCAAGGAGGAATGCCTGCGTGACTCTAGCACGACGAGAAATTCGGGTACGGAAGCAGGAAGGACGTAAGGTGAGGCTTAATTTTCCCACGTTCCCTGCAATGTAAAGGCGCAACCAAGAATAGAAGGAAACGCAAAACTAGCACTAAGTATATCGCTTAGCGGAAAGCGCACGTCAAGTGTTTTTAAGGCGTTAAATACTTGCAAGGTACACATCCATTTTGAATCGCAACGTAGACCAGCCCAACCTTTTTTTTAATGAGGTTGTGAGGCGCGTCTTACGCCTTTTGTGTCAGATATTGCACCCTAGACCTCGCATAAGATGCGTGCCAATGGCCTGGTCGTACAGACTCGGTATGTCCGTTTTGCAGGAGATGCTTACGACCGTCACGTCGACAGATTCAGGCCGAAAATTCACTCACATAGCGTCGAAGAACGCGGCTTGGCGTAAGACACTGCCCTTGTATGACGAAGCAACACTTTCGCATCAAGACCTATGAATACCATAGCCGTAGCTAAAAAAAATTAGCTGTGGGTTTTTATTGCGCCATGAACCACCATCGCTATACAAGTGCACTTCAAGCGCGTAGTAGGACGTTGAATGTATGAAGCAGACACCATAGCGATGCGTACATTTCTGGGCCTTCAGGAACAAAATTATGTTACGATGTACGAGCTTGCTGATTTAGCGCAACTAAACATCCCCCCAACTCCTCGTCGCACCTTATAATTTGAGGTGAAAGCCCGCTATGTATGCAGCTGCGATAAACGAAACGCAAGAGATCGCTACGGCGTACGTTTCGGACGGCTTGGTACACACGTCATACTTTCCTTTTTTCTTATCACACGCAAAGTTGAGGCAGCTAAAACGTTCGGTGACTTAACTAGGCCGACTTGCCGCCTAAAATCACATAGCCGAAAAGTCGTGGGTAGAGCCATTAAAAGCTTCGCACACCTACAAGCTAAATACTTGCGAAATATTGGGTGATAATGTGGTTACAGGAGGACAATTGGGGCTGATAGCTTACGCGAAAATTACATCCCTGTTGTATTTTCCAACTCAATATCTTTAACATGTTGGTCGAGTAATCCTGGAACGTTTGCAATGATCAAAGCTGATGGTACATACTTTTTTTTGGTCTGCGCACAAGGCGTACAAATTTTTGGACATGTGATGGAAATCACAGAACATACTGAGTGAACAGCACCAGCGTATACCGCAGTCATTTTGCGGATGATTGTGCGTAAAATGGCTCGTCCTTGCTTCATTAATCACAGCGCTTCCATTAAGGCCGCGGTGAGATAACCGGACGCTATCGACGGACACTCAGTTCTTTGTCCGGTCTTTTCGTTACACGCAGTCGCGTCGCGTACCACATAATCTTTAGCAAGACTTTGGTTTAGAGCTGTTCTCGGCCTCTAGCGGTCCTGTTGTGCGACGTAATCGAGCGTAATCAAGATATCGCAAGCACTCCTCCGCGAAGCAGGAACAGGGAACAGCCGGTTAGGAAGAGGGCAGCGATCCAAGGCGCCGAAATCGTCCTCGTGGCCCCGTTGCAGTCGAACTTGCAGTGCGTATGGTAGACGTCTCCGAGGAGGTCTTTTGCCGTCTGCGTCAGTGTCTGTACCAGGACGGACACCTCTTCTTTACAGCCGGCCTCGGCACTCGCCCTGTGCAGGCATCGCTCCAGCTGGTCCATGGAACTGCGTTCATAAGAGTCAATTTGAGCGTGTTCAGAGTTTCCCTTCGGTTTATTGGGCGATAGGTGAGTGAAGCGGCATGTACTATGTAGAGTGGCGATTAGAGTTTCGGAGACCACGGGAGCACGTGGCCAACAACACCGCGGCGCCTTCTCGCGGCCACTAGAAAAGCTCGAGAGGACGCAGTGTGCAAGCGCATGCCAGCCTGCGCTTTCACTCCCTTCAGCATGTGCGCACACCGGAATGGCCGGAAAATCACAAGGCGTCACTATTGCAGGTGCCATGGAAGTACCGAGCGATGATATCGCGTCAAAAATATCTAACTTGTAGGGGCATGCGGCGCTTAGTGTGCGCTGCTTTTCCGACTTGGTTCCAGACGCTCCGCTGCGGCGAAAACACGCACATTGCGTAATTTTTTTTTTCATCCACGCATGTGGTAAGATTACCGAGCAGTCCTGTATCTTTGGCGAAACACGTGTGCTTTCGCCGCCGTGAAACGTCTGGAATGAAGACAAAGTAGCGGTGCGCAGCAAACACAGCCTATAGAAGCTAGATATTTTGTCACGATATGTACTGCCTGAGATAAATTGTTAAGCCTGATGAAATGGCACAGCCACTTCACTCATTACCATTGTCGGGTTAATAAACATCTCGCAGATGCAGAACTCATTGTCTCCCACTTTTCTAAAATAAGGGCTTGTTTTTTCCATTCTTTCATGGGGCATTTTCAATTACGGTTCAAGCTGTTGCGCAGTGGAGGAGTAATTTCCTCACGTAACGACGGTCTCGTTGCTATTAATTTAGCAGCCTTGCATAACACTGAAGATGTCCCACGGCTGCTTAACTAATTACTTTTTGCCTAAATCTTTTAGCTGTTCTTTTTTTTATTCTTAATGGCTTTTTAATAACAGATAAGTAAAATGTCAAGTAACTGCGTGGCTAATTATCTCTCGTTTATCTCCCATCACGATTGTATTTTGCCGTTCTTTAGAGCAGCCTTTCTAAGATCGGATAAGCAAGCAACATGCACATTTGGGGGTTAGCATGTATGCCGTAAATACCTACGCTTCGTGTCTGATATTTCTCGACAACTCGTAAGCTTCCACGAGTAGCACTTCATTTCTGACAAAGAAAAACCCAGCGTCTGATTCAGGCAAAGCGTGGTAGCAAACAAATCACAACTGAAACTTTTCCAATATGAACCCCGTGTGAGCTTCCACCACAGTGACGTCACGGGAATTCTTCTGTCAGAACCACAAAATGTGGCAAGAAAATAGGAAACCTATGAGGGTATAAAATACGCTGATTATGTATGAAGAAGCTGCTTGGGGCCATTCAGTGGAAGAAACAGTGATATTGCACAAATGTGGGGACAGGGTAACAGACCAGCACGCCCGGTGTAGATCTTCCGGATTGGAGCTGTTGAACGACCCTTGCGCCAGCTGACTCTTGAAACTGCTACCGCATGTCTTGGTGCCCTGGATTGCCTCCTCTGTTTTGCAGCTGGACCGTGCAAGAGCTGCAAAGAGAAAGTGTGAAAACAAAGGCTCAGAGACATTCTCTCTAGTAGACACAGTAAGTGTACTTTTCAATGCTTCATAGCCAAAGCCAGTGCTGAGTGAAGCTATACAGAAAGGAGCGAAGAACGTTACTATAAGAGGTACAGAAAACGTGAAGAAAAGCTCATCAGGCTGCCATATAAAGCAAACGTCGCTGTTTCGTAAAACACTCAAAGCGCCTGTAAGGGGCACCTGTGCACGTACCACCATTGTTTGCAAGAAACTACAAAAGGAAGTCAGGAATAAAATAGTCACCAGGTAGCAGTACAAACTTTCGGGCGTCCGTAACGTGTAGTGGTAGTATGAAATGCATCTAAGACACCAGAGTTTACACGGCTATCAGTGAATAGCAACGCTATTACGCTGTCCGGGGCCTTTGCCATTGAAGAGAGTGCAAACAGTGTGACTTACTCTAGCTGTGTGAGGTGAGTAAATCTGTGAAATAGTTGTACAGTTTCGATCGCTGAAGGTGGGCAGCACACGTGTTGCAAGGCTGTTGTTTTAAAACAATGGATTACCTAAACGAAGCCCTAAGTGGTAAAAGTAAAATTAGCCTTCTAACTAAGAAGTAACAACGTGTGATTTTATGCCAGTTGATACTGCATACTTGATCATCGTTGAAGTGCGAAACGTTTCGATTGAAGAACACTTTGCGCCTAAACGACGATGAAGTATTAGCCTAGAAGGCGTGGGCATCATGTCTGCCCGAACGCCTTTTTAGCACAACAAGCACCTCCCCACAATCCGCTAGGACAAACTTGTCTGGAAAAATACAAGTCATTTTCCTGCGCAGAATACATGGTCTTCTGGAAAAGTGAGCGCACAAGTGTACATACGTACTCCAAATGACATGCGTCTTCACGACACAATATAGTCAACAAAAGCGCATTTGTGCTTTCATAATGCAAGCCTGTTCGAATATAATAAATCGATGTTGTAGTGGTGCAGGTGCACCAATGAGTATGGACCTGTGAAAGAGAATGAAAACACCCGCATTCTGATAGCGCGAAAGCCTGTGCCAGCCTTGCACTGTGTTACCATGCGGTCCTCTTTTGTCATGACCTCGTTACCACTTTGTTACATAAATAAACCTCCTCAGATTAGGTGGAGGTTGCAGAGGTCCCCCAAACTGACCTGGACCTCCGTTTTGGGAAGTTGCCCGAGCGACCACCGGACAACATGACCGACACAGTCTCTGCCCAGCTATAGCAGGCCCCACCAGCAGCCCCGTCCACTTGTCTCGGCGCTACCCATCACGCTGTGTAGGTTATAGAAAGTTATATGGGCTAAAATGTATGCTACGTTATAAGGATGTACGGGAATACGACTTCTTCTAAAACCACTTTCAGGACACTTTTATACGCTATAGTGCGTGTTGGTAAAGTCTTGCCAGCACTAATAACGTCTCCCGCTTCAACTCAATGCTGACAGAATGGTGCCTTTCTATCACACTTGCAACTAATTTGTCGCCAGAAGCACTGTTAAGATGAATGAACAATTCAACGTGCATCTCATCAATCGCGTAATTAGCGTAGTGTGATGAAAGCTCATTTTTCGAATTTTCTCGATCACACTCAGCTGGATGTGTACTTCCGTCAGTGCTCTCACTTTGCGCGTGCGCCTTAAATGTCTATGCGTACGCGCGCATGTGTGTGCGTGCGTGCATGTTATGGCATAGTTCCACGTGTGCGGTCCATGAACGTGAGTCACCACTCGCAGCCCCGTGACCCGCGAGGCCGGATCACGTCGGCTCCGTCCCTACCAAGCGGAGAAAGATTGCGATTGTTTCCCACAACAATGACGCCCGGTGTCGACACAGCGCGGCGCTGTTGCGAAAACAGACGTCCGACTGTAGTTCACTCCCCGACGGAGAATCGAAAGAGCGGTGAGAGTGGGTTGCAGCTGTAATCAGTGAGGCGAGAGAAACTGTCGGTTAGCGCTAACGGAGGAAGCGAGTGCTGGCATCGATTTCTGCTTAGCGTCACTCCTATAGTCTCTGTGTTTATGATGTTCTAGTTGTGACCAAGCAGCGAATCAATCGGCGGTATCGAATCTAGACGTAGCGTGTTGGACATTGTTATTTTGATGGGTGTTTCATATGGGAGCTAAAGTGAATGTACGATACTCAGAACGGCTGCGAAGAGGCCAGAAATGCGAGCGTGATTGGAAAGTGCAGAATGGGAGTTTGAACCGCAATTGTAATGGGGCCATGATGTCTACGGCTTTCGCGATGACGCCATCTCATCTATTATTGTGTTTCATAAGTATTAAAGTGCTTAGTTGGGACCATCATTGCAAAGGCTATGTTCTATGTCGTCCGGCGGCGAATCCATTGTATACCTACTTTTATTTCATACACCTAATGATGACTGCACTGCACTAAAATAGCCCCGCCGCGGTGGTCTAGCGGCTAAGGTACTCGGCTGCTGACCCGCAGGTCGCGGGTTCGAATCCCGGCTGCGGCGGCTGCATTTCCGATGGAGGCGGAAATGTTGTAGGCCCGTGTGCTCAGATTTGGGTGCACGTTAAAGAACCACAGGTGGTCGAAATTTCCGGAGCCTTCCACTACGGCGTCTCTCATAATCATATGCTGGTTTTGGGACGTTAAACCCCACATATCAATCAATCAATCGACTGCACTAATATATACAATATTTCCTATGCGTCATCACGTTGATTGTATGGGGGCTTCGAATGGTCCTGCCTATTAAGGAGTTTTACCATGTACTCTCAATATTTCGTCCAATGTTAGGAGATGCACTAATATGAACTTGCTTAATGAATGGTAATTATAACGAAATGTTGCGTTGTAACTATAACGAAGTGCTGCATGCGTGTCGATAGATGGACGGATGGATGGACGGACGGATGGATGGATGGACGGATGGATGGATGAATGGATGGACGGACACTCAAAAATGCTTCCCATTCATGATATTTTCAGACGCTTCATGCGTCCATACCACGGTATTATTATAAGGCATGCCGTAATGGATGGCTCCGGAACTTTTGATCATCCGCTGTTCTTCAACGCGTACTGATACGATCCTCCAGCATTTCGCTTCCATTTAAATGTGACCGCCTCGGCCGAGATTATACACGCCATTTACGGGTCAGCAAATGACCACTGTAACGGCTGTACCACCGCGGTGGACGAAGAAACCGTACAAAAGACAGTTTTGTAACGGGTATATGCTTCCATTATCTGGTGCACCGCGCATAATGGGTTCGAATACGCTTTTAGCGTCAATGTTGTTTAATCTTGACGCCAGGCTGTGCAGAGTGAACAATTGGTTGTCCTCATTACCGCCCTATTCTCTTGCGCGTTGCTCAGCTGGTGTGTTCTTTCTTCGTGCTGTTGGACATGGATGTTAAAAGACTGAGTGTTATTTAAGAAATTACTGAGACCATGGTAATTCGGATGTTCTTAACTAGGAACGTGCTATTTAAGACAATGCTTATTAAGATCAATCTATGTAATGACTTAGTAACATAGGACCAATCAACTATAAACTTGCTAACTGATATCAAGCTGTGTAAGAATTAGCTACTCATTCTCTTCGCTTAGCCGCTGTGACACTTCGCCAAGCAATATAGTTTTGTCCTGCTGTTGCCTAGGAACTGCAACGCCAAGAACCTCATAGTAATGAGAATTTCAAGATAATGTTGCCATGAGCAAATACAGAGGATGTTATTTGTGCTCATTGTAATATAAATTTAAATAAAGGAAAAAACATATGACAGAATTTTGACAGTAGAACTTGGCATAAATTTTGTTAATACTCAATTATATTCTGTCTGACAAAAAGAAATCCACGCATTTCCTCAAAGTGAATAAGGACGAGTTGGCGAAGCCCGGTTTAATTTCCATATAGTCTACGTTGAAAACGCCAACTACTATAGGGGATGGACAGATATGAAAGGACCGACACACGGATAGATGGACGGGTGGCTCAGGCGGTCGTTTCACAGCTGTGGGGCAGGTGTTGTGATACGTAGACGCGGGTACATCACCGGACAAGGCTCGCCTTTAAGGAGCTTCGCTCCGAAAACAGCGAGCCCTTAAACTTTCACTTCAAGCTTAACCTAGTAACGGTGTAGTCCAGGTAGTAGAAGCCGACAAATGCTAGCTGATCAGCTACAAACCCCACTCTTAGCCCGGCCTTGCACTGCGAGCGCAAGGTGTACAAAATTTTTTTTTTTAATATCGCCTGTACGAACGACGAAGGTCGTGGTTTCGGCGGATGCCACTGCACGAAAGAAACGCAGTCGCTGTTATACAGACCGTAGCGAGCAGAGCTCCGTGAGGGCGAGGGTTGAGGACGCAGTGGAAAGTGGTTACGGATCGCTCGTCATACGCGCCGCATTATCAAGCGACGCGGTCACGTGTGCCGCGTAACCGCCGCTGCACAAGCGAGCGCTTCCGTTTCCACATTTCGCGTGCCCACGGCAAGGCCGCATTACGTAAACGGGACCGTCCGCCATTGTACCCAGCCTTAATACCCGCTTGCATGCTGTCGACAATGAGGGTATGGTGCGATTTGGTCCTGTAACCGCATGGACCAGTTGGTGGTAGTATATAAGCGCCACCACACCGGCATAATAATGCCACTGTAGTACTGGGAAAGCAGAGACATCACTCATTACCCTCGTGACTTGGTGCGCGTGTGGTTCCGACACAGTCTGTTTGCGGGCAAGATGGGCAGGGAATGCGTGAAGCGTAACAAGGCTCACCCAGGAACGACAAGCGCTTAGGTTCTCAAGAGACGTTCCTTTTGAGATACGTTATACGGCAAAACAGACTGCCGAGTGCGTAGATACAAGACCGATCGGAGTATTTGATCCAGGCAGTCACGCAGTCTATGCGTAGTTGTATGAAAGGGGCCTTGCCCCCTTTTTATTTATTGGTTGATTTTTGTTTGCGTTTGATAGGAGTATTGGTTAATGAAGCTGTGTGTAT